TAAAAAATGACTTGGTTGTTTCCAAAGAAAACTGGATTCTGATAAAATATCTGGGACACCGGGCCTCGTTCAAGTTTGGCCTCCAATCTTTTTTTGAAGTACGAAAAATTGGCTTTCCCGTTTAAGAGAAATCGGATGTTGTCTGTGTCTCTAAACAAAAACCCAGCGGTGGGACAAATGTATGTCTCACCGTTGAAATGTGCTTTGACGATAAATTGTGGTGAAGAGGCCATTTCGTAGAATTGTTTTAAGGTTTGAAGCTTGGAATGTTTGAGGTTTATTGATTATATGAAGGTTTGAATGCTGTAATGTTTGAAGGTTGGAATGTTTGAATTTTATGAGTGATTCGAAGGTTAGAATGTTTGATTGTTTGCAGGTTTGAAGGTTTGGTTGTAAGAACGTTTGAAGGTTGGAAGATTTGACAGATTATGTGAATCAATGTTATGATAAATATAAGGCTAAAAATTTCAATTAAGTAAGGATGCAACCCCCCAAGGCTGCCAATAATGTTACATGCAAGGAATCCCAAAGGCTGTCACGTAGCCTGAGCCTAGGCTGCAACAAAGGACACCTCTTATTCGCCAATTGGGATGGCGATACCATTCATTTTTGTACTCTTTCACTAAGTCCAATGGCGCCTCCCTTACTGTCCAATCGTGATACATGCATAGGCTGCCACCTAGCCTGCAAGAGTGACACATTTCATTTTTTGTACATGCATGCATGCATATGTGTAACCCCCTAGGTTACCACCTAGCCTGCAAATGTGACACTTCGCAAGCATGCAAGCACAAGCAACCACTATATCAAATTTATTTGCCTATAAATACATACCATATGATACATCTCTCACACCCACACAAGTCTCACTCTCTGCTACAAAATATTTCATAAGTCTATCATACTCTCTATCTCTTCCTAAGTCTTTCATACTCTCAAGCATTTTAAACAATGGCTCTTCTAACAATGGGCGATACTCACAGAGGCACAAGGGAAAACATTGCCGCATTTGTAAGTTTCTTTTTTGGTTATACATTTTTCATACTTCAAATAACGCGTTGTTCATCTTAATTAATCTTACACATGTTACGTTATGAACTCAGGACCCAAAAAGATTCAGAATCCGTTCGCACAACTACCTGGCTCCCGACCCATTTATCGTCCCATATCTGGAATACGCAGGTTTTGGACATGTCATAAAGATCTCCAACTGCACCATTGACTCGAAGTTCATTCTTGCAATGTTGGAAAGGTGGAGACCGGAGACCCATACATTCCATCTACCAATAGGTGAATGTACCATCACGCTAGAGGATGTGTACATGCTACTAGGTCTCCCTGTCGACGGTAAGGCCGTGAACGGGTCAGTTCAACAACCCAACTCTCAGTGTGAAGAACTGTTGGGCAGGGATATGGTAGAAGGTGGTGGTGCGAGAGGGCAGGGAATACTACTCACTGAGCTGAAAAGTCATTATGCAAGTTTGGAATTAAATGAAAATTCCTCCGAGAATGACAGGGTAGTAAAAGCCAGAACTTATCTTATGATATTTTTTGGTACATTTTTATTTCCCGAAAGTACGAGAAATAGTGTAAATTTTATGTATTTACATTTACTAAGAAATTTTGAAAAAACAAGAAAATATAGTTGGGGTTCTGCAGTTTTAGCCCACCTATACAGTTCCTTGTGCAAAAACGCAGTCAAGGAAATATGTACATTTTATGGGTGCGCTTTTTTACTACAAGCCTGGGGTTGGTGGAGGATGGAGTCCTTAAACTCCGTCAACAACAACACTTTCGGTTTCCCGTACCCAACAAAGTAAGTCATCAAGTTATAGCATTTATAACTATTCATCTCTTCACCAAATATATGCTAAGAATAAAATGTTTCTCATTTCCTTTAGGTACTGCGTGAGGGGTATGGATTACGGCAAGAATCCAAGATTCAATGTCGCACTCTACCGTAATCTGTTGGATCACTTAGGCCCGGATGACGTACGTCATAGCTTTTAACTTTTGCTCAACTAAGTTATTTATACATTACTTTTGCGTTAACCTGATTTAAATTTTATCGCAGTTCGCCTGGAGACCATATTTGGGTTTGGGCCATGATCCAAACCCAGAGGATACAGTAACTTGGACCGCGAAGACTGCAATCATTCGGTTTAACATTATTGAGATGCACCACAGCGACCGTGTGAAGATGCAGTTTAGAATGCATCAAGAGATACCAAGTGATCCAACTTGTTTGTCCCCATGGCATCTTAAAAGGGTCGACGCCCAGTGGGGTCTTACCAACTAGAAAGACTTCGCTCCGGAGTGATATAAGATGTGGCAGAGGCGTCACCGCTATGTCTTGCAATTCCCAGTTTTCCTAATTCAAGGTAATATGCGACACTCGAATCAATATTTGTCTTGGTACAGGTCGGTTAGTAACCCTGAAATGCACGTGTCTCATCCAAGGTACTTGGTTGACCCACGCACACAATGGGCACAACCCTCGGTTCCCCAACAACAAACCCAAAACCCATCAACCTCCCACCAACCCCCAAGAAGAAACAGACCCACAAACACCCAATCACAGTCCCCACCACAACACAACTACACTCAAATTCCACACAACCAACCACAATCACCACCACACTACCAATACCCCGATATGCCTCACACCCAACCACAATACCAATCCCAATACCAGCACACCCGCATACCCCACACACAATTTCAGTCTTCCACATATCCCAATATGGGCCCCTCAACATCCATCCTTAGCCCTGATATGAGAATGTCGGAAGATTACGAACAAACCGACCCAACCTACCATCAACCACAATATCACCAAACCACCCAACATCCTCAATACCAAACACCCCAAGATCCATTTCCTTTCTACCCCCCGTACTCAGACGATCAATGCTACAGACCCACTATGGAACCCCACCCACCGCCAACACGACCAAACTTTGAGGGTATGGGTAACCGACTGTACCAAAGCGGATCTTCTAGATATGGAGATTTGACTGATTTTATGGATCCGGACCGCATTGACTTTGCTGGGCCATCGACCTTGCCGCAGCAGGAAACGCGACGACACCCAGCACGAGAAAGGCGAGGACGGGGATGCGGAACCGGGGGTCATTACCGGGTTCCGGGGGATCACTGGTTTATCTGTTTTTTTCCTGTATTTTTTTATCCATTTTTTTTAATCTGTTTTTTTATCTGTTATTTTAATGTAATACAGTTGGATGTAATTATTTTTTTAAAATAAAAAATCCATTTTGTTGATCCTCTGTCCAACACGCAACGCACCGGACAAAAAAAAATCAATTTTTGTCCTAAAAATACACCTAGGCGCCATCTCACTTGGCTTAGGGCATGCCCTAAGCACATAGGCGCCAAGTGAAATGGCGCCTTCCCTTAAAATATAGGTGCATGCGCCATTTCAGATGACTCCTCCTTTAGGGAGTCATCTGAAACATGGTTATTTGCGTATTTTTTTTTTCGAAACGCGGTTATTTGCGAAATATTATTTTAATAATTGGTTATTAATAAAAAAAAATTCCAATTTTTGATCTATAATGCTCTTAAATTCTAAATTCCAATTCATGTTACCATTTTTTCTAATTCCATGATTTTTGTCGCAAAGCCCTATTGGTGTGTTGAGATTATCCATCATCGAAACAAGAGTCATGGTACAAAATTGTTGAGTTTGAAGGGTCGTTGACCATTATGTCAAAGCTTGAAGATTCAAAAATTCATGAATGCAAATTTATTCAATGGTTTCAAGAAAGAATTCAAATTCAAATGGAGGGAATTTTTTGTTTTCATGAGCTTGGAATTTACAAGATTAATATCCATTCATTTCAATTCCTTATTCTAATTTTCAAGCATATTTAACGACATTCAAGTCCAACTTGCAAATCTCATTCAAAGATGTCAAAAGGCTCAATATTGTGGAAATTTCGAAGTATACTTCATGATTCTATACTTCTTTTGTCCTAAACTTTCAAATTTCCACCTCATTCAACTTTCAAGGAAAAGTTCAAAGTTTAATAATCATTCAAGAAATTACAAGGAAAGGTTCATTCTTAAATTCAAGTTTCCTAACATTCTCAAGCCTAATTGAAAATCAATTTCATGAGATTTGCCAACAAACACTTTCAGAGTTCAAATTTCATACATGAGAGTTCAAATTTCCTAGTGTCTAAATTTGTTTTTTTTCAAAGTTCCATGGCATCATGTTACAAAGAAACTTCATCAATCCAAAAGAAATTCCAAGTCTTCAATTTCTAAACAATATTACAATTTCTTCATGTTACAAGTTTTTCAAGATACAAGTATATGTTCAATGCCTAAATTTCAAGGTTACATCAACACTTCACAGTAGTTCCATGGCCTCTTGAGTCTACATCTTTGCAAATCCTTCGACAATTCTCCAAAGCTCCAAAACCGAGTCCATTATGTTGCCTTTCTTTCCATGACTTCAACCTCCCAATTGACTTTGGTTTAAACTCCTCTTCAAGACTCATTCTTGTTTACTCATAGCAGTTTTAATGGTAATCATCATTGCACATGAAAAAACAAGAAATACAAAGGGAGAGGTTAGTAATTCACAAGAGTTGGCAACCCGTTCCTATCATAACTTCAAGCCAGAACCAAGCGTTCATTAACATTACAAATTGAAAACAAATAAAAAAGGAGGAGATTTTTGCACAAACTAAAATCACACAAGTTGCCAAGGATTGAATCACATGTATAAGGCCTCATTGGTTGCATAAATCAGCATTTTGGTTTATCATTGGCCCATGACCTCTATTACAAATCACAAATTTAATCTTTGGTTGACAATAGAGGTTAAGAAAACAGTTTCTTGTGCAAATATAAGTTCAGAAGCAGGCATCATAACATCACAGTAATCAAAAACAAGTCAAGAATCAGATTTCCAGCCCAACAAGCAAAGGCCTCATTTGTTACATAACAATACTCAGAATGTCGGTTTAATCATGAGCCTAACTCTATCTATTGGAAATCACAAGCAAAGTTGGTTCACAAAAGACAAAATCAAAGGAGGTCCAAATCAGAATTACGAACTCAGTAAGGTCCAGCATTACATTCACAGCATATCATCCCAAATCAGTTCACAAATCCTTTCAGAGAAAAAACCAATTTCGTTCAAGAAAAGCCCTAATCCTAGTTATATTTAAAGGATGTTTAACACTGAGATTTAGAGGATTGATTCACGGACAAAAACTCAGAACAAAAAACAAAAATACCAAACGGAAACTCACCTGAACTCGTCGGAAAACCGCTGCCTCATCTCGCTGGAACTCGCCTTTCTGACCGTTCACATCTTCCACTGCCCGAAACCGATCTCACTTCACCAGAAAACCCCGAACCACCACCTGAATCACCGTATCTCTTCGACACAAATCGCAACCACCGCGCCTGAAAGCCAATCTCCGCCATTCTCTGTCATTTTTTTCCAAAAGGTTGATAACACTCCATAGATTCTGAATCCACACCTATCTTTATGCTTCTATGTTGATTTTCGTTGTTGAGAGACAAAACTTTCTGAAAACTCTTTGTTAGATCTGCAAAAATCCGTGAACTATTTTCAAAAAATGATTCGAGATTCGGAATCGGAAGAGGATAGAGAACAAGAAAAGTAAAAAAAAAAATTCAAAAAAAAGTCATGGTGGCGCCTCCGCGCAAGCCGTCGGTCGATCGGCGGGCCACCTTCATTGTTCTTCCTCTCCGCCACAACTCTTCCCTTTTCGGCCAGACGTTCTCTTTTCTTTCTCTCTCTATTTCCATTATTTTGGTTTTCTTAATCTCCGATGACACTTGTCATCACACCTGAGAAGATTATAAGCTTTGATCCTCTACATGTCAGCTCATTGTACTTGTTGTGTACTACAGATATAGACCTTCTGATGCAATTACTGTACTGAAGTTGACTAGATCAGATGGCTGAAATTTATTCTGGTTTTACTTTCTTTAATTTTAATTTTTTTTATCTTCAAAAAATTCATAATAAATTTATTTTTCGCTCAAAAATTCTGAAAAAAATTAAAAAAATTCATTTATCTCATTTCTGACTTGGTGTAATTATTTTAGAATTTAATTTTACTTTTTTTTTATTTTTAATTTTTTTTTACTTAATTGAGTGATTTGAATTAGTTAAAAAATATTTTTATATTTTTAAAAATTATCAAAAAATTTGTAAACACGCCTGAGATCATTTCTGACTTTTCTATGGTCTCTTTTAATTTTTATTTGATATTTTAAATATAGTTACTATTTTGCCTTTTATTTTCATTTAAAAAAACAATTTCAAAAATCATTTTCTCATTCTATTAAATACAATTTTATTTTTTGTATATATGCTGGCTGATTTTGAGCTATGAGAATCTTAATCATGAATTTCATTAACACTATTGGATCTTGGGTGTTGAGTTTAACTCCACCAAAATGGATGAATGATTTTAATGATAACTTGATTTTAATTCTTATCAACTTATTCTTCATCTTATTTCTTCTTGATTTTTCTTGTGCTATAAGTTTCATGAGTGTGGTTTCTATCACATCTCTAACTTGTGTAGTACATAAATTGCTATTGGCCGGCCTCAAAATAGGTGCGGCTTCTACATAAGTCCACTTACGATTGCTTAACATAGCGTTAAATTTTGTCCCAATTCGAGAAATGATCATTCGTGTTCCAAACCTATGTTTGTAATCTCAAGTATGTTTAATTTAAAACCTTTGATCCAATAACCTTGAGGTTCATTGCTATAAGGCTTTGGTCTTATCAATCCTCTAATGAACCATCATAAACTTTGGTTTAAGCGAATCATTTAAACATCGTTAATCATATGTTGTCGTTTCAAAAACTTGAAATGAATGATATACTTGACAAAAAGCAAATGAGACTTGTTGTTGAGAAGTTTTGATTTTATCAATCTTCTAACGAGTCTTCAAATGCAAGTTTCAAGATGGTCATTCAACTAACCTCTAACTTTTAATTCATTAATAATTGACTTTATTTTTGTTCTTTGTTTTTTACTTTATGCCCTTTACCTTATACTTTTACTTTCATGCACTATTTATTTTAGCATTTACATTTCATGTTATTTTCATCTTTGCTCACTTGAGCATTTATCTTTATGTCAGTTTATTTTGCTCACTTGAGCTTTCTATTTTCTTTTTGAAGATACTTAATAATCAACTTGAACAATAAAAATTCTTAAGATTATATGGACTATTTGTTTACTATCTCTGGCATAATGGAGTGGTGGATTTCTCAGACTTAGGATTAGAAGCCTTTGATACCCTTAAGACCTTGTGACTCTGATTTGTTATTTTGTCTGGAGTTCTTGGGGTTTATCCCAAAACATTGGGTAGATTTTCTTTGTGTGCAGGTTATTCTGATTATATGTTTTGTCTATAATTGGGAATTTCTCTATATACAGTCGTTACTCTGCCCAATTTTTTTAGAGGACTTAATGCATTGGAAGTTTGGTATTCTTAAGAAATTTACTATCTTTGCTTGTTTGGTTTCAATCCAAAGGATGTGAATTCTACATTGAATTCATATGTCAAGTGTCGGCTTATTGTTGGTTAGACGGTTCTTTCTTTGGCTTTTACCTTATGCTTTAGGATAGTCCCTTCATCTCCTCTCATCTTCTTTAATTTCAAAAATATTTTCCCTTATTTTCAAAACCCTTCTTGTTTTCTAACTTGAACCGTGTTTTACCCCAAAATTTGCCCTCTCTTTCTTCAGAAATCATCTTGGATTCACAGAGTCCCTCTGAAACAAATCCAAGTCCTGAATTGTCCACTTTTGCCCAAGCAAACCATTGACAAGAGCAAAATTATCACACAAGCTCTAAAGGCAACGCTTTTATCTTGAGAAAAATTAGATTCTAAACGTTTGGAATTTTTCTCTAAAAATAGGTGTTTAAGAAGAAAATAGCGCTTCAGAACTTCTGGACCAAACTCCAGATGGAAACGGTCAGAAGTTGCAAGCTTGGCTCAACGCAGTCAGAAGTTGACTCTTCAGCAGCTACATCAACTCAGTCAGAAGCTGCAAACGTGGTTCAACACGTAAGCCTCAGACAGAGCATGACTCTTTCAGCAGTTACGTAAGTTCAACTAGAGTTTGCTAAAGGAATACAAAGGAAACAAGGAAGTCTGAAGGCTCCTCCAGAACATGCTGAAATCAGAAGATGAAAAGGTCAGAAGAGTGGGTGTTACACTGATACAGAATCTCTAAGCCCGGGATTTCCAGAAGCAAATCCAAGGAACGTGTCAGAAAATCAGGAGAATCCCCAGAATTTGCTAAGACAACAGGAGGCCAAAGACCAGAGCATGGTTTACGTTGTTCTTGGTAAAACAGAATTGCTGGTTCAAAGTTTTGTTTCTACTACCAGAATATTGGTGTTGATAAGTCTTATCACTATTTAATGATCATTAATGCTCCCAACCACTCCTGAACATTCATCCAAGTAGTCCCTTCACGTGTGGCTTGGTAAACGCCTTTATGCAGGTTCTGGCATGGGTCTACGCGCCACCGTCCACCTAAGAGGTCACTTCTCTCCAATCCACGCCTGTTGTTCCAGCCTAGGCTGAAAGGCTATCTGTTATCACAACTTCCCAGGAATTTCTTTCAAAGAACAATTCAACCTCTGTTGGCGCCTTTAATGTTCAAGAAATCCACAAGAGCTTTGCCTATAAATAGAGAACCATTGTCCACTGAAAAAGGGCGTCCAAAAAACAGAAAAATTGCTAGAAGAGAAACAGAAATCTTTAGCAAGAAAGTGCTGTGAAACTCTGCCAAAATCTCCAGTGTTTCATAACTTTGAAGTTCTTACCTTCAAACTTCATCAAATACCCAGTTTTCTTCGTGACTAAAGAACACCCTTTTCAACTTCTGACCATATATACACATACACCTTCATCTACCCTTTTCAAAAAGAACCCGTCCAGAACACCATCAGAGCCAAAAGCTAGCTCTCATCCACAAACTTTTCCAACAGCCAGGTAAGCACCTGCTGACCTCCATCACGCTGCTAAGCATCATCAGCTTTGCATGCTCAAATAAACATAATGTAAATATCATGTTGTTGTTGTTTGTGTTCTGAGGATTTTCATACCTCAGAACGTTTTGAGCCAGTGTAGAACCTGCCTGTGACCTTGTTGGTTCTGTCCTCTGAAACACTTTGACATTTGCTGGAGCTATTCCAAACATGTTTTCTATTTTGTGGAATAATAACAAAATTGCAGATGTTCTGATTAGCACAGGGAGAAGCCAAGTGCTGACTTTGACGTTAGCACATCTGAAGCCTGTTTTGCTGTCAATAATATCAGAACTTCTGAGAATTATTGTATTTCCAGCAGGATCAGAACTTCTGATTTCCCCACTAACAAACTTTTGTCTTGCAGCGCAGGGGGGTCAGAACTTCTGATCTTCCCACTAACAAGTTTCTGTTTTGCAGGTGCCAGAGTCAGAAGTTCTGACTCATACAGCTTAACCAAAAGGTTGATCATCTGGCAGCGGGCCTGAGTCAGAACTTCTGATGACCTCTCAGCAGCGCGTTGGCTCCCTCTCTCTTTCTCTCTATCTTGTTTTTTTCTATTTTCTTTTTTGTCTATTTTTCTCGTTGAACCACCCCATGTACAAATGTGTATCCCCACTCCCTAATTGTTGTAATAGCGTAGGATTTTATATTTCCGCTTTTTATTGCTAGTAATTAGGATGTGTATGGCAAGATAAAATCAATGAAATAGAAAATCCTAATTCAAATATAAACTCTTGTATGCAATAAAACACACTTGCACACTAACACCCCTAGGGTTACATCCACTTGTTGCCTTCAAAAAATGGGCCATGTTACGCATGCAAAGTATCTTTGTAAAACAAACAAAATCAAAAGATCATAGTCCCTCGATGACTCTATCCAAAGTTGCCTTACAAAAATGATCTTAGTCCCTCAAAAGAAATACTAAGATACTTTGCAACATTGCTATCATGGTCTATACGATGACCCGCGCCCGTCCCGTTTACATCCTAACACAAGGTTGTTCACCAAATGCAATGGTGAAACAACACTGTTAAAAGGGTTAAAAACATAAGAAAGATCTTTGAGTAAAATAGGGTAGACAACTCTTAGTTACTTGATCAAAAATCTTGCAAAACATCCTTGCT